TAGTAGCAATAACAACTGAAGTAATCTTCAATTATTAATGATTATTGGTAAATAAATTATTATACAAAAACAACATCTAAAGACATCAGTCATAGTAAAATGTTTAATTGACATATAATAATGATAATAATAATATACACCACTTAATGGACAATATCTAAATAACTACAGCCATGATAAAAAGACCAAGCAATATGATGTCTCTATAAAACTATTCACTTCTATACAAACACACATCTAGCTAAACCATATCTAAAGACTTTATTTATCAATCAGTTTCAGTCACTCACTCTTAAACTCTCAAGCACTACTCCACTGTGGCAAAATCTAAACTATGTATTATTAACAATGAATCAAATCAATGTCACTTAACTGAGGGTTATACAGTGCCAATGTGAAGCCCAGCCTGAGGCAGATACTGAGATTGTGGACTGATCCTGCAGTCGAGTTTCAAGAAGCTGTGTGGCTGATGCCACAATGGATGAAGAACATGAGAGAGAAGATAGAGAGTCCTGAAGAGCTGACTGTGGTGGGAGCCGAGAGTTCTGGGAGCTGGATGAGTGACTGATGGGATTCCTCTGATTCTGAAGTGGACTGGAGAAGCTCTGATTCTAGACCTGCATTTTTCACGTGATCAGGGGAATGAGCAGGTTGCATTGAGAGAAACTGCTGCTGCCTTTGATGGCCTGAGAAGGGAACCAACCTACAAAAAAAAAATAAAAAAATACGAAAATATAGTTTAAATTTAAATTAAAGGCAGTTATTTGAACTTTTTAAAATTATTTTAAAACCAATTAGCTGAACTTTAGAATGTTTTTGATCCACTTAAGTAAGACTTCAGTACATATTTATATGTAATTTCATAATTACTTCTTTTGTCTTTGAAATACAGTTAAAGTGTACTGCTGTGACAGCCAGGCAAGGCAAGGATAGGATGTGTTTCCATATGCAGCTTTTTTTTCTTCTTCTTTGTTTACACAAATAACCAAAAGACTAACCAGGAGAACTGTTGTGCACAATTACAGGCAAAGTAAATGGAAAACACATAAACATAAAGACAATACTCGATATTGAACAGAGGTAACAAAGGGCATTAAATACACCAGTTAACAATTAACTAAACAAGATACAGGTTATAAATAGGGAAACAAACTAGCAATTGAAACCAGGGGAACACAGGACACAAGAACTGAACCACAACCAAACATGACAACTGCTGAATGTACTGTCAAGCATTTAAGATAAACTAAAATAGACTTTATTGTCATTTCTTTTGGAACGTATATGTCGTGTTTAACTATATTTGTAATGATGAAGTTGCAATTTAGTACATTTAAAATATATTCACTTCAATATATTTCTGTCAGGACCACTATCGTCAAAATGATAGATACTTAGCATAAAGTTTGGTTTGGCAGTATGGTTCTGTTCTGGGCAAAAACTCCCTGCCCATATTCAAGATAAAGGAGTATGATTCAGCGAGGAATATCAGAAAGCCAAGTCCTGACCCTGGCGAAAGGAGGAGTTGGGGATGGAGGGGGGTAATTTGCTCCTGAGCAAGCGGAAAAAGCTGCTGAATAATACTGAATAGAGCTTATATAGGAATGCTGCGATAGGTGTCGTATTCCTATAGATAGATGTGATCAGCTGAGAATCAGCTGATGCAAGCTTGACTCACGTGACCTGCCAGAACTAACGATAACGCTTAATTATACCTGTATAGTTTTGTAATCGATCTACGAGTATGTCATGATCTATGGCAGGGATGGGCAACTGGCGGACCGCAGTGTCTTTTAGTACTGGATCATATTAGACTCGGATGATCAATTTTAAAACATTTGAAAAGCAAGTCACGTAAAGATTGCTTTCAGTTTATGATGTTAATACTATCTCCAACCAGGAGAGGTCGCTGTTTCCAGCCGCTCCCTTATTAATTTCAGCGTAGCTGTCTATACACTGTTTGATGAATGAATCTACTATTTACATCAGGGATGGGCAACTTTGATAGTGACATTTTTTCTCCTTTATACCAAGGGGCCAGATTACTAATCCACGTCCACACACCTTTTACACCGTTTTACTCAATTTCCTTTTTATTGAAGGAAATTAAAGTATAACTAATGGAAATATTACCCTGACTAGCCAATGTAAACATTTCAATTGTTTGTTGCAAATTTACAGACAATGCAATTGAAATGGTTACATTGGCTAGTCAGGGTAATATTTCTGTCCACTGACAACAAAGTTTTCCTTCTGAATTAGCATAACTGCACAAGTTTTATGCTTAATAAAAGCTTTAAAAACAAATGACATTAATAATGTGAGTACACATATGAAGTTATTTCATTGAAGTCCACTAAACAAAGAACATTTTTTAATTTAAAATTAAACTAAACACTGCCTGAATACTTTCAATTAATTAAAATAATGAAACCTAGAAACATAAATTGAACTCAGATCTCTTGGAGTTAACCATAGCTAGCAGTTAACCATAGCTAGCAATAAAACACATGCATGAACAATAATGCATCAGCAGCTACCGACTTTTAAATAAAACAACATGCAGCATCACATCATGTTTTGGTCCATCCTAGCCCTAAGCACGGCTGCCTTCAGCACAACTCAACAGGAGCCTTATAAAATCCCAACATAACAGAACATCACACAGTAACAGATCTCATATTCAATAAAAAAAAAAATCAACATCAACATCTAAACCTCTTTTAATTCTCAATAAGAACTTTTGTATGACAGAAATAAAGTCCAACTGGTTAGTATAAGTGAAGTTGGTAATGCTGTTTATGGAGTTGTTTAATCATTCTCTGTTGAGATCTTGAGATTTAATGTGTCCTTTTTCTTGCAATTGATTTAATCTAAAGCTGTGGCTGAAAGTCAATTATAGTTGTTGTGTTTTGGTTGTTTCTTCTTTTTTCTGTTCTTGTTGCTTCTCTTTCCTTCAGCAATTCTGCTTGTTAACAGCAGGTGTTTATTTCTAATGACGCTCAGTGTCTGAATTTGCTTACTTGTTTTTATTCACGTGTCAAGTGGATTTGAGTAAACTAATGATACACAGGCTGTGTTTAGAGTCTTCAAAGTTTATTGAACAGATACACAGTTCATATACTTTTCTTATCATGCATATCATTGAACTAAAACTTTAAACACCGAAATTCTTTTCTATGACCTTAGATTCATCTCTTCTGTGACTCTTCTGAGATGCAAATAATAAATAATCTTTTATATTTACTTATGTAATATCAAAATGTATTGACAGGTTTTAGGGTGGATATACTGTACATGCACGACATATGTCCAAAACTGTATACACATACACAAACATACATCTCTGTGTGCTAGATATGTTTATATATGAAATTGTTCCCATTTCTAAAAAGTTTCATATATGTTTTTACTTAATATAATAATATATATCATATATGCATATTTAATATGTCATATATTACATTTCAGTATGGGTATGTTTGCTGCAACATAACATCTGACGTCTGTAATTAATAATCAACATAGATGAATAAAAACCCGTCTAATTTCCACTGACCATTTTTTTGTGCTGAACGAACCTGGAATAAAATATCTAGAGTTATGAATTTGAAAAGGAAATGCAGAAAATATATATCAACGAAAGGGGCTTTCTCATCAACCTTTCAATGACAAGGGCTTTTTTCTCTTTTATCTCATGATTTAGTCATAGTCTAATTTATCTCACTAAAGCATAAAAACAGTACAAACATATATTTTTAAAGGGGTCATATGATGCGATTTCAATTTTTCCTTTCTCTTTGGAGTGTTACAAGCTCTTGGTGCATAAAGAAGATCTGTAAAGTTGCAAAGACTAAAGTCTCAAATCCAAAGAGATATTCTTTATAAAAGTTAAAGGGGTCATATCATGCTTTTTTAAAGATCATTATTTTGTGTATTTGGTGTAACAGAATATGTTGACATGCTTTAATGTTCAAAAAACACATTATTTTTCAAATACTGTACATTATTGTAGGTCCTCTATGCCCCGCCTCTCTCAAACGCGCTTTTCAGACTGATGAGCTTTGTAAAAATCGACGCGTTTCTGAAAGGAGGGGCATAGAGGAGAAACAATAATGTACAGTATGTGGAAAATGTGTTTTAACCTTAAACCGCATAAACACATTTCATTACACCAAATACACAAAATAATGTTCTTTTTAGCAGCATCATATGACCCCTTTAAGGAAAAGACTCCCAATGGACTTCCACTTTACTTAAATTGACTGCAGACAATACTGAAAACAAGAGACTTTGGTGGTTATGGTCGTCTTTTTATCCTTTAAACATATCCCTATTTCTTAAGCGTTTCTTGAATGATGTGATTCCCTCTGCTTTTATAAGTGATTTTAAATGATAATCAAGACATCCTGTACATGCATTCAAAGAGAGAGACGTATTTACGCTGTAAAAATATGAACTGACATGAGAACCTTATGTCCTCTCACCATAGAAATCAATTAAACTGATCTCTTCTTTGGCAGTCTCCCCCATTGAAGACCTCATGTTTCAGTCTGATTAACTCTGACATCAGCGTTCATCTCATCAAATGACCTCATTTCCTCTTTCCATTAACATCATGTTCACAAAAACTGCCAGTCAGCTTTAATGATTTGTCCCAAAAATTATATACACAACAGGATTGTTGCATTTCTCTGAGATGGACAAATGAACATCTTTCTAATTGGCGTCAATGACAAACACTTTTACAGAACAGAACATTGTTTCTTGTGTGATAAATCATCACAGAAAAAAAAAATAAAAAACTTGTAGGCCTAACACCTTTAATTGTCTAACTTGAAACAGGGTCTTTGCTCAATAAGTAATATGTAAACAAATGAACAGTGTAAAATAAATGGAGAAAGACCACAATCAAAGCAATCAATGAAAATTAGAAGAATCAAACATTCTTAAGAAAAGTTTAGAAATAAAACATCAACTAAAAGATCATTTAACTGCAT